AGAGAGAGAGAGAGAGAGAGAGAGAGAGAGAGAGAGAGAGAGAGAGAGAGAGAGAGGATTAACCTTTCGAGACGAGTGAGGGAGCAATGGGTGATATGCTATAGAAGATCCTAATGGATCAGACGTACAACTTACCGACCCTCTGACGAAGGGCATACGCATATGCACCAAGCACATCCGTCAGCGGAAGCAAAACAAAAGGGTTATGGGAGAAAAGAAAGCAAGTGAGGCCAAAAGTCTACTTGGTACAATCGACTAGAATGGCCATTATGGTACCGACTCACAGAAATGACAAGGACCAAAATCTGACAAAAAGTTCAGAGCTGTGTTAGCACTTTTGCTGGAGCGGCTCGCAGAAATGACAAGATAGGCCACCACCGTAGCAGATCTCAGCACTCGCAATGTTGACCTTGAAACTTCCATAGCCGAACTGAAGGGACAGATCGCTGGGGTGATGAGGCAACTTGCCACTCCAACCACACCGCTTTTTGCTATCACTTCAGCCAGGTCAATCACTGCCACTCTAATAATCAATCCCTCCTCTAATGGGATCATAAATTCATAATGGCTTCTATACCTCCAGAACAAACAGCAGCAAATGCTGCAGCAGACCTTGAGCTTGTAGTACCCAAAAGCAAGACCTTGTAGGATAAGAGGGCAATGCTAATACCACAGCTAAATTCAACAGCAAGTAGGAAACTGTCCGTTGGTTGGCGGAGGCGAGGCAGGCTCGACTCCAAACTCACCTGGGCGCCGGAAGAGGAGCAATTTTCGTTGATCTCCGCTCTAGTAGAGACCCACATCAGTATGTGGCTGCAGGGTAAAGCTACTAACGATGGCTACGGCAAGGAATAATATGTTGATTGGCTCCTCATAAGAACTCGTTGCCCAACCATAACAGACCTGCTCAAGATCGAATGAAACTTTTTTTTTTTTTATAAGTAAAACTATATTGCCCAGACGAATCTGGAAAAACTTTAGGAAATCTACTTTATAAGTTTATAGTAGTTTATACCACTTATTTTTATTTGTTTCTGGTTTCAAGTCTTATTTTATTAGTGGCCATGATTGGAGCTATAGTACTTACCCTGCATAAGACCAAGTAAAAAGACAAGATGTAAAAGGGCCCACAAAAATAATACCTGAACCTCTGTGGGACACATTGCTGAGCAAAAGCATGTCCAGCAGACATTTTGGAACCTCTGTGGGACACATACTTACTGCTGGACATGCTTTTGCTCAGCAATGTGTCCCACAGAGGTTCCAAAAGAAAATAAAGAAGAAGAAAAGGACACAAAATTCCAAAAGACATACTGCCTGGCAGTCCAAGCACACCCAAGCTGTTGTACAACTTCCAGATCACTTGGAGAATTCCTACCCTTGTTGCTTATCTGCCCCTGTTTCGCCCCCATTTTTTCAGCACCCTTGGCAATAAATAGGGAGCAGGCTACAAGACGGTGTGCACACTGCACACTCCTTGGCCACATATACCACCGACGGGAAGAAAGGATATTTGTGACGGATGGAGTAAGTACTGTGAAGTGTGAACTGAACTACTGGGAAATTCAATTGCATTTCCACAAGAATCAGCAACAAACATTGAAAATAACAATTGATATGTACTACGTAGTAGCATGAAAGCAGACCCAAGAGCCTAGCTCAGTGGGTGGGTGGGTACACCCATGAACTGTTGAAATGCAGACCCGAGTTCGAATCCACATGAAGGAACTGATGAGTAAAACCAAATGTTTCTGAATTGCCTGGGCCCGGTTAGCTCAATGATGATATCTCAAGCCTGTCGCCGTTCTTCTTAAAAAAAAAAAAAAGGTATGCAACCGCTCAAGCAGATGACTTTTATTATAATGTGCCACAATTGTAATCTCTCTCTCTCTCTCTCTCTCTCTCTCTCCCCTCTCTCTCTCTCTCTCTCTCTCTCTGTGTGTGTGTCTGTATGTTCCCCCCACTCCTTTTCCCCCCAAGCAGGGGGTAAACGATAGGTGGCGAACCCGCATGGCTTCAATAACAACGAGGAGGACGAGGTGTGCCTGAATGCTTATGAGGCTAAGAGATGCAACCATATTGCTCAAACATTGGAGCTACAGGAGGATGATCAACATTCATCTGATGGGAGATCATGACGCATGATGGATAGAGAGTAGACCTTGAGTGATTCATAGCCTCTCACTCACCAAAGCAAGCTGAACAAGTGGTTGTGCGGAGGACAGATAGATATTAGACAGAGAGAAAGAGAACTAGGCACAGAAAGAACTGTCGAGTAAGGAAGAACGTTCAAGGTAAAGAACGTTCCTTACAAAGTTGCCAATCTTGCAGAAGCTACACAGCAATTAAATCTTCCACGACATGGAGAGTACTGACATGGAACATGCATTTCAACCGTGCGTATGGTTATTTCTTATTGTAGCAGTTAACGTAGGTATGAGTAATGGAGGCTAGAATAGCCTCGAGGAAGAAATTCCGGGCGTGAATTGCCCTAATGGATAGTATATGCCAAAGGAAGGAATTTCGGGCAACCAATTGCCCTATTTGTATAAATGAAAAGTATACCTACATGTAGTCCAACGGTTTCTCTGTTGCGTCCTCGCAAGGCCCGAGGGAGTACAAGTCAAACAGTCCGACAACACGCAATACTGTGTCTGAATCAAGGGGCGTTCACAGATGACGATTACGGAGTTCGGCAACATTAGCCCGCCCTCATCGCTACGGATGTCTGAATCAAGGGGCGTTCTCTATTGACGGGAAGAACAAAGACCGCAGCGTAAGTATATCTGCACAGCCTGCTTTCCCAAGTCAATTGCCAGGACTTAGTCCGCACATTGTACTGGAATGTTTGGATACTTCCACCAACCCACTCAGCGGAACACTGACTCTGGTTTGGCCCATCTTCAGGTATCCATTACCAGGACCACTGAGAGACCGAACAAACAAGACATTCGCAGATTGATGGTTCTTGAGCATGTGGGGCCTAACCCTGGGAAGGTTGGTGATTTTGACCACCACAGTCTCTTTCACAGTTCGGTCAGTTCTAGCGCTGTTGTTCCTATTATCGGCAGGGGCCGCATTCGTACAGGGTGACCTCAGGCTGGATACGACTGACATGCTGAGTGAGAGGGAGAGAATGCTCTCAGCAGAGCATCTAACAGCGTCAAAGGGCTCAGCATTGGCGCAGGTCGACGAAGTGCCATTGCAATGATCACAATTGAGAGTAGGAGAGGGAGGTACTGCGCTCCTTAGGGGCTGTCCCACAATGGTCTCGATCCAGGTTACCACCCGGCTCATTCTCGCGTACATGCCAGGATAGTGCGCGCGGGCGCATCCGTAGCCCCGACTCGTCACCCCGACAAGAATAGGACACCCTCCTGTGCCGGAGCGAGCTACGAGTGGTCCTCCACTGTCACCCTGACAGCTGTCAACGCCTCCGGCTTCACAGCCAGCACAGATCATCGAGTCCGCTGTGAAACCCGTGTAACGCTGCTGACACGTGTTCGGCAAATAATCCACTGTGGCGAACCTTAGCTCTGGTGACAGACAATGGGCAGCTTCGGACGTAGCTCCCCAACCGCTTGTCGTCAAGTCAGAACCTTCCACGAGAGAGCTGTCATCTCCCGAGATTGGTACTGATCCAACGGCTGACGAGAAAGCCAACGCCTTCTCTAGCATCAGAACTGCCACGTTGTGGACCATTGGGTTTTCATGGATCCAAATTTTCTTCACATTGACCTGCTTCATACGCTCTCGCCGTGTTGCGCCATATCCAATTGTCACAGATCCTCGCTGCAGATAACGCCCGTGGGCCGTACCTAGCTCCGGAAAACAATGAGCTGATTCCCGACGACAGTTGGAGTTCATAACAGCAGCAGCAGCAGCGGAACGATCACAAACAAGGACATCATTCATGGCCAAGATAAATTTCACTACAAGACATAAACAGCCACAGAGTTGCGACCATTTTCCCCTCTGCTTTTTTCCTTTCTTAAAAAGAAAAAGAAAACATCTACTATCCTGCCTGCCTTCTTTCATTTTTGTTTCATTTGTTTAATTTGTTTCATTCGTTTCATTCATTTCACTGCATTCGTTTCAGCTCCTTCCTTCTTGCTTCCCTCCCTCCATCACACACGTTTTGTTTGTTTAATTTCTCCCCTCCTTCCTCCCTTCCTCCCTTCCTTCCACATTCCCCACTTTCTTCCTCCCTTCCTCTCCTCCTCCCCCCTCCCTCCCTTCCTCTTCTCCTCCCTTCCTTCCTTTCTCCACCCCTCCCTCCATCTCTCTGACTTCACCAGCTCTCCCACACACTCTCTCCATTCCCTCATTCATCCACCTTACATGTTCACTCGACGATTCATTCCATGACTTGTTTGCTCACTGGTTTTCATCATGAGAAGATTCACTCTATTCTGTCAGGTCATTTCATATTGCCATAAGCTAACCTTTCCCCCTCCGTTCTGCCCCCTCTAGCATGCACAGCATACCCCCTCCTCCCCCTCCGCCACCGATATCGGCAATGGATCCTGCACATCCCCGTTAACACTCTCCCCCCAACCTCTCTGCATGCAAAGACCATACAGCCCTTTTGAGACTCCCCTTGCCATGGTGCATGTATGAAGCATTGTGCAACCTCCCTCCACAGTCCACCTTTACCCCCTTCGCATGGAAGGCATACACTACAACCCCCTCAACGCCCCCCCCTTCCCCCCTTACTTTGCAATTCCTGGTCGGCACTCCCCTGCGTGGCAAGTTGGGGATCTGGCCATGCCCAAACATCTCTTCGGGTGGCCAAACCCACACCTTTGGCCGGTGGGCATCATTTTGGACCCAGGGGCTGTTCAGCATCTACACTGCTCTTATTTTTATTGTTCTTACCAGGGGTTTGTCCTTTTTGTTTTTCTTCTTTCCCCCCCCCCAAACACCCAAGCCCCTTCTATTCTAGGGGCGTCAGTCCGGTTGCTTATCACTGACAAGCATGAGTACAAAGAGAAAGAGCCAAAAGAACAGAGTTGAAAAAGATTCAGCCTAGCCCTTGCAGTACGAGTCACCTACTCAAGGGGGCGGCTGCTACGAACCAACCCCCCCCCAGACCATTGCTTTCCTAGGGGGCTTCTGCTGGCCGGGGAGCTTACTGGCAGCACCCAGTCACACAGCAGAAGGACTCTAGGAAAGGCAAGGGGTGGGGAGAGTCGTTCTGGCAGCCTCACAGACCGCAAAGCCCTCACCTAAACGTATTCGTTCCTACGAAGAAGTCCAAACCGCCAACACGCGCTAATGCTTCTGTTCCCCTCCTCCTGGGTTTCTCCCTTCTACTCTTATAGAGATAACCTACCCTTCCTTGGTTCTTAGTAACTTCTTAGTAACTTCTCAGTAAATTCTTAGTAACTTCTTAGTAACTTCTTAGTAACTTTTTAGTAACTTCTTAGTAACTTCGTAGTAAGTTCTTAGTAAGTTCTTAGTAACTTCTTAGTAACTTCGTAGTAAGTTCTTAGTAAGTTCTTAGTAAGTTCTTAGTAAGTTCTTAGTAACTTCTCAGTAACTTCTTACCCTCCTTTCTATTTCTTCCCCCTGGCGATCTTTAAGTTTCCCCATCTCATCCATGGGGTTTTGCATCCTTTTTTTTTGGTGGGATTGTGTTGACTTTGCAGAGACTTTGTCCATCCTCATTTTGTCCACATTCCAGCAGGCACGTGTTTTCTTATAGAATGCATGTTTCCAGAGGTACCTGCTCAGAGTGCACCATCTGTTTCTGCTACTTTCTGGTCATTGTAGGGAAGAGGCATGCTTGTCTATGATAGAACTGGAGGTATTTTTATACTATATATAGTATATGCACGTTCATAGAGACTGTCAACATTACAGGACTATTTTGTCTGCACCTGGAGGTTTCGAAACCTCTGACAGATCCTTATTCTCCATGCTAAGAATCTTATGACCCCCTTGGACCCTCCCATCAACCCCTCTCACCAACCAGTGCGTGCAAAGCATATCGCGACCCCCTTGATCCTTGCTCACACCTTATCCACTCCCATTTATGTAAAGCAACTTCCAGCCCCCCTCAACACTCCCCTACTTTCCACGGCCCCCTCTTTAAGTAAGGAGTCACGCATCAAGCAACCGTTGGTCCTCCAAACCCTTCCAGTGCAAAGCATCATGCACCACGCTTCACCCCCCTCAACAGTCCCCTTCAGCTGCCGTGTATGCGTTTTTTTTTCCTGTTTTTTTTTTTTAATCCACTTTTAGACATTTGTGACGAATTTTGCTTGCTTTGTCTGGACAGAGTTTGTTTCACCCATCCGTACTTTGATTGTTTCCCCAAAGCAGAACAGAACAGAACAAATGTTGTCCTTCACATTTTGCAAGAGATCTCGGCAGGAGGAGAAATGAAAGAACGAAGTCAATGCAGCAAATTGAACCATTGCAAGAGAGAGAGAGAGAGAGAGAGAGAGAGAGAGAGAGAGAGAGAGAGAGAGAGAGAGAGAGAGAGAGAGAGAGAGAGAGAGAGAGAGAG